TCTGTTATCTATTACAACTGTTGTATAGATTATTTTAGAAAATAATATCTTTTCACATAACTTTACATAAGTGTCATTTATTACCCAGTAAGCAAATTGAGCGCAGATTGCGCGCAGATTGGCAGCAAATTTGATAAAAAATCCACAGCAAAACCATAGCCATCTGTGTCTACATTAGGCTACGGTTTTGGCGACAGATCTTGCTGTCGGGCAATTGGTGCCAAATTTGCAGCAAAAACCACACAAAGCCTGCAGCGCAGCAAGGTCTGCGCGGTTTCTGCCCCCAATCTACCGTCAAATCGCTACAAGCTCTGCGCGGTTTTTGCTACAAATCTGCAGCAATTTTCCGACAACAAGCTCTGCCGCATATTTGGCGGCAATTTGACAGCAAGATTTGATATAACAGATCCTGCATCAAATTTGTTATCTATTTGCCATCAAAAGTTGATAGCAAGCTCTGCTCGAAATCTGTTCGCGCAGGTTTGGCTATCTGGGTATTTACACATGCGCGCGCGTGTGTGTACATATGTACATATACATATAAACATATATATTAATATCATATATCATAATTTATTTTTAACGGTAACTTGTTTAGTTTGCTTTGTTAATTTTTAATTTAATTAAAGAGAAAAATTTATTTATTCAACTTTGGTAAACTGAAATCATACTCTACTGTAATAATTCTTGGATAAGTTTACAAAAATATTTATTTAAAAAGACCTTCCACATTTTTCTTATCACTGTGCAACGGAATATAAAAAAAGTGTAACAGAATATAAAAGATAGTAAAAAAGCATTTTCTATTTTATTATAGTATTGTAATATATCATTATTCGTGTTGTAAATATTTGCATTATATTAATTAAAGCATTAAAGATAACAACCAAATGGAATGTAATGTTGCGATAACAATAATATGGACATATTCGAAAAGGTACAAAGATAAATTTCGAAAAGATAAAACATATATTTATAAATTTTTCAAATTATAATTTACACAGATAAAGAGGGAAGGGCGGGTTACGTCTTTAAATCTCGTGAAATTGCCGAACCACGAAGTTGTTATTTTTTTTGGCTACAACACTCGCACGCACATATACGAGCAGGGCTGCATTCAGAATCATCGCCCGGGTGCATCCAAATATCGTTTTATCCTTGTTTAACAATTGATAAACAAGAAAGATAAAATATGATATCTGGGTGCACCCAGGCGATGATTCTGAAAGCCCTGATGAAAAGAATTTTGATTACAAAAAAAACTGCTGGAATGATGAACCACGATTTCATCATCTGTCATAACTTTTGAATCATATTTTATCTTTCTTGTTTATCAATTGTTAAACAAGGATAAAACGATATTTGGATGCACCCGGGCGATGATTCTGAATGCAGCCCTGCTCGTATATGTGCGTGCGAGTGTTGTAGCCAAAAAAAATAACAACTTCGTGGTTCGGCAATTTCACGAGATTTAAAGACGTAACCCGCCCTTCCCTCTTTATCTGTGTAAATTATAATTTGAAAAATTTATAAATATATGTTTTATCTTTTCGAAATTTATCTTTGTACCTTTTCGAATATGTCCATATTATTGTTATCGCAACATTACATTCCATTTGGTTGTTATCTTTAATGCTTTAATTAATATAATGCAAATATTTACAACACGAATAATGATATATTACAATACTATAATAAAATAGAAAATGCTTTTTTACTATCTTTTATATTCTGTTACACTTTTTTTATATTCCGTTGCACAGTGATAAGAAAAGTGTGGAAGGTCTTTTTAAATAAATATTTTTGTAAACTTATCCAAGAATTATTACAGTAGAGTATGATTTCAGTTTACCAAAGTTGAATAAATAAATTTTTCTCTTTAATTAAATTAAAAATTAACAAAGCAAACTAAACAAGTTACCGTTAAAAATAAATTATGATATATGATATTAATATATATGTTTATATGTATATGTACATATGTACACACACGCGCGCGCATGTGTAAATACCCAGATAGCCAAACCTGCGCGAACAGATTTCGAGCAGAGCTTGCTATCAACTTTTGATGGCAAATAGATAACAAATTTGATGCAGGATCTGTTATATCAAATCTTGCTGTCAAATTGCCGCCAAATATGCGGCAGAGCTTGTTGTCGGAAAATTGCTGCAGATTTGTAGCAAAAACCGCGCAGAGCTTGTAGCGATTTGACGGTAGATTGGGGGCAGAAACCGCGCAGACCTTGCTGCGCTGCAGGCTTTGTGTGGTTTTTGCTGCAAATTTGGCACCAATTGCCCGACAGCAAGATCTGTCGCCAAAACCGTAGCCTAATGTAGACACAGATGGCTATGGTTTTGCTGTGGATTTTTTATCAAATTTGCTGCCAATCTGCGCGCAATCTGCGCTCAATTTGCTTACTGGGTAATAAATGACACTTATGTAAAGTTATGTGAAAAGATATTATTTTCTAAAATAATCTATACAACAGTTGTAATAGATAACAGAGGACATTTGACAATGCTAAACTTCTATGTGCGCGGATGAAGAAAATTAAATTCAAGAGAAAAATCTTTTATTATTTTCAATTTTCGCAATAATTATTGTGCAATTCAAATTATTAACGAATAAATTTGTTGGAAAGTATAGGACGAACTATATGGATAGATATATTTATTAACATCGGCTTGGATCTGATCATTAATAATCTATATTAATGATCTATGAAAAGCGGATGCATTTATCTTTTTATTATTCTTAATATTTTGATGTTTAATATTTAACACATTTGTATGTAATTTAAATATTTGTATAATTAATAGGTGCGAGAAGGAAGTGCGCGCACGGCGAGAAACGACAAACAGCATAAGCATAAGTTTCACGCCGGCCGTCTGCTCTCTCTTTTCCGAGCATGCATTTGCTGCCTCTTTCTTCCCCGAACGATAGCTATAGTGTACGCGACCGACATATATTATAGCTCGGTCGAAGCGCGTACACGGCAAGCAGCCGTATACGCGTATCCCCTCCTGCGCGCCGCTGTCGAGCCGCCGCTCACGGACTCGGTCGCTCGCTGTGTGCGTGGCCTACGTCATGCTGTAAGCGGAGTAAAACTGTGCACACTGTTCTCCGGTCCCGCACTGTTCTTCTGCTCCTTCTCCCACGGGTCGGTGAGATGAGTTTGGAGGACACAATCCACGGGACGCGCTGACCAGCTCACTTCCTCGATAATACTTCTCTAAAGTCGTTCAAATCCGTCACAAAGAATGCGCGACTTGTCCGATTTTTGCGCGCGCCCAGCGTTTTTGTGTCCCGACTCCCGGATTTTTGGAACGCAAGGTCGAGGTTTGTTCGCGTAATTATATTGCGTAATTCGTAAGCATTGTAGAATTAAAAATGATGCAAAATGGTGAATCGTAACTTCGAAAAATCAACAGTCTTTTAGATTTTTTAGATTTTATTATTAAATGTATTAATTCTCAAATTTAAAAATTCCGTTCTGAAATTTGTAACTAACGATTAAGTTAAAATAGGACATCGTATAGATATATAATATATAGCAACATATACAGAATATAGGATATATATGAACCTATTTCACAGCGCGTGGTATACACAAAGGTATTCATCTCTTGATAACATTACTTTTGTAGAGAGTATAAAATTGTCTTTATTTTTCAATAGAGTATTCGCGAGAGTACAATTGATCTAAATAAGGTTGTTTGTTTTAATATTTTTTTAAATATCTCTTAGCTGAGCTTTTGTTGCAATTTATTTATAACGATTTTCTTTTTGTAAAAACAAAGAATGCTAAGGCGCGTGCACTTGAATTTTTTTTTTTTTAAGTAATTTCGTCTTTATATCACATCTTTTTTACAAAATAATATTAAAGACTAAAAACGAGTTTCTTTGTTAATAATTTTATATGTTGAACTTCGATATTGTAAATATTTAGGTGTACATAAAAAGCAGTTCTTTAAAGGACCCCGCACAAATTATATAGGAAATTGGACCTCGGTGAAATCGGCTAATTTTTTAATATGTTGTAGTTTATGACCTACTGAACAAAAAGTGTAATGGGCACAAAGCTAAATAATGGACAGTTTTTGAGCTACAGCCAGTCAAACACGAAAAATTAGGATCTGCGAGTACATTATATATCCCTACTCTTGGCATAACCCAGGACCAACGACATGGACGTGGTAGGGAGCTGGTACCGCGCGCGCACTTGTGTGTGTGTGTGTGTGTGTGTGTGTGTGTGTGTGTCTGTGTGTGCGCGTTCGTGTGTATATGTTTGTGTGTCAGCAGAGATAAGGACCCGACGGTTCGTCACTCCCGCAGTATTTAATGACTCCAAATCCTCTCTGCTGTGTGTGTGTGTGTGTGTGTGTGTGTGTGTGTGTGGCTTAATAAAATAAGTGATTTTAATTAATACACAATTAAAATCACTTATTTCATTATACTCCATATCACTCATTTTCCTCAACATTCAGATCCTGTTGTGGTGGTCTCTGCACAGCATCTAATATTTTATTTAATATTGATGAAGAGGGGTAACGAACGTTGGGTTGGTGTCGCGCATATCCTAAATACCATAATACGCTGGCTACGTGCGCACATGTACCCACAGTTCTTGTGCCTGATTTACAGGTGCAGTAATAACCTAATATCGCCTCCCTCCCATCATCTACGTCGTCTTCATCTCTCATATCGTAAGCTATAAATATTTGATATTTCGTTGCATTACGAAACCGTGAAAACAGTTGCACCCTTAGGAAGCCTGGTTCGTCAAATAGCGAATCCAATTGAAACTCTTCTTGTGCATCACGCTGCATCTTATCTTGAATGTAAGATCTTGCTAGGCAAACCTGAAATATACCGACGGTCAAATCTCGTAAACACTCTAATGCCAGGCGTGGAAAGTCACGTAACTGTCCCTCGTGCAGATGTACCCATTGTGCATTTCTGTAGCACATCCTTTCTGCTTCAACTCGCGCTTGCACAATATTAACCTCTCTCGACTTATCCAGAAGTTCTCTTGCTAACTCTGCATTAACTCCTTCCATTAAAATTAAAGGATGATATCTGTTAATTAAAGCACCCGCAGTTATAGAATTCACCGAGATGATGAAGATGAGGCATTATAACTGCATGACCAAAAAACTTGAACATAGACTTAATATGCCCATTGCTAGCTTCAACTATCTATCTTGTTTTTGTTACCACTCGTTAGCTTCTTCGGTGGATAGTTGTTTCTGGTTACGTCCAAGAAAGGCTGGCATTTTATACTCAATACCTAATTCGCGAAGTAATGGCTGGGCATCTCGATATCCACGATCTAATATGAAAATGTCGCCATCGTGAAACCATCTTCTTATATTTTCCGCATCACGTTGAAACTCATTGTTTAGCATTTGGGCATCATTGTTACAAGAGTCAGAAAAGTAAGGGCCCTGAATAGCTAGTATGTACCCATCTGGAGCAACTATGAGAGCAGGTTTTACTAAATGTCGACCTTTATGCATCGAGTACGTTTGTCGTAAAACACAAAAATTGCTACTTTTGTGAATATAAGAATAAGTCCCGTCAATATAAGCAATCACTTTCGGAATATTTGCCTGGGGATTATATAAATCGTTTGCAAAAGGTGTTATATGTCTCATTATATATTCCTCTCGAGTTATAGCCTGAAAACCAATATTATCAAGAACAAATCTCTTTAGTAAAAACTGCCGAACTTTGGAAATGGCAAGACTCACCCTT